CCCCCCAGGACACCCCAAGACCCTCTGCAGGGTGCCCCCCTGACCTTTGGGGCCCTGGACCTTGACGTCCAGCGGGGCCACCCCGGCCTTGGAGGTGTCCACGGTGAAGGTCTGGGGGACGTTGGCACGGACGGAGCCCGGGGTGAGACCCGGCCCCGAGCAGGACACGCGGGAGGCGTCCACGGGGCACGACACCGGCACCTGGAACGGGCTCCCTGGGGGACAGGGGGGATCCCAAATTAATGGGGGGCAGGTATGGGGTCACCTCTATGGGGTCAGAGCCCCCTGAGACCCCCGGTGCCCCCAGAGCCCCAAGCAGGACACGCGGGAGGCGTCCACGGGGCAGGACACCGGCACCTGGAACGGGCTCCCTGGGGGACAGGGGGGTCCCAAATTAATGGGGGGCATGTATGGGGTCACCTCTATGGGGTCAGAGCCCCCCAGTGCCCTCAGAGACCCCCAGTGCCCCCAGAGACCCCCGGTGCCCCCACGGCCCCAAGCAGGACACGCGGGACGCGTCCACGGGGCACCTGGAACAGACTCCCTGGGAGGGAGGGGGGGATCCCAAATTAATGGGGGCACATGTGGGGTCACCTCTATGGGGTCAGAGCCCCCCAGTGCCCTCAGAGACCCCCAGTGCCCCCAGAGACCCCCGGTGCCCCCAGAGACCCCCAGTGCCCCCACGGCCCCCAGCAGGACACGCAGGAGGTGTCCAAGGGGCACGACACCGGCACCTGGAACGGGCTCCCTGGGGGACAGGGGGGTCCCAAATTAATGGGGGGCAGGTATGGGGTCACCTCTATGGGGTCAGAGCCCCCTAGACCCCCGGTGCCCCCACGGCCCCCAGCAGGACACGCAGGAGGGGTCCAAGGGGTACGACACCGGCACCTGGAATGGGCTCCCTGGGGGACAGGGGGGTCCCAAAATAATGGGGGGTATGTATGGGGTCAGAGACCCCCAGTGCCCCCAGAGACCCCCAGGCCCCCTCAGAGCCCCCCCAGACTCCCCCAGGACCCCCCCAGACCCACCTGGGACCTGGTGGCCACCATAGGTGACGTTG